GCCCGAAAACGTTGACGAAAAAATGCGGACATACAAAACACACACACACATTCATTTTTTTTTCGAAAATGTTCGACTCGAGACCTTCGAAACGTCGAGAAATGCAAAAAAAATCATTTTCGATTTATGGTCCATTACTATAACTACCCTACGGGAAGTTAATTAGTAAGAATATGACTATTATACTGATATAGGATGTAAAGCATTTGAATGTTAAATAAAATTGAAAAAACAAAATCAAAATATAAAATAATTTTAAATACCGTGAATAGTGTGTATGTACAATAGTGTGTAGGTATATTGCAAACATTACTGTATGTCTATATTTTGACTATACAAAAAAACGTCTCCAACCGCATTTTTAAGTAGCAAAGTATAAAAAAACATCTCCACAGGTATTCAAGAATTAATAGAAGATTTGGGTATATTAAAACACCTCAAAAATTTGTGAAGGAGCATTAAAATGATATGGGACCCTCCTTATTATGTGACAACTGCAATCGATCACATTCTGAAACGTATTGTGTGGTCTAAAATTATAACACTCAACAAACTGCAAAAACTAACAAATGCACGAGCGAAAAAAAGTACCTGAATGAGGGGATTACAGTTGGATGGTTTGTTACGTGGACCGGCCGAGGAGTTCGAGGGACCTTTCTATGCGCTTTTCGAAGTTTCGAAAGGCGCCCGATAATAACATACATATGTATCTATATAATTATATCTTGGGAAGTAAGCTTTGGGGAGATTATTAATCGTTCTCAGGCATGATATTATAACGCATAATTATCGTGTTCTTCTCGAAAATATGTACACATATATTCGCACATTCCTACACAAACACATTGTCATGTGATATTTTTTTCGATATATATATATATATATATATATATATATATATATATATGCAAAAACTATACATCAAATAATACAAAAAATAAACCACATATTTTTAGGAATTTTTGGTGTATAGAACATTTCCAATTAATTTAATGTCATCGTCAAGGGAAACTAATCATTAACGTTTCAAATTATTTATATGCACAGTAATCATAAATAGCGCAGCCACATATCAGAAATCTTATATATATATATATATATATATATATATATATATATGTATATATATGTATATATGTATATATTAGAGTTTAAAAGTTGGGCGTACATAAAAAAAATACTATGAGAGTTTTTAGAAATTTATTTAAAATCTATACGTTTCGGCTAACATCCTAGCCTTCATTCAGTGACAATCAATATAACTATAAAAATTAAAACTAAATGATTAATATCTAAGAAATTTTATGGAAAATCAATAAATGATAAAAAAGACTTCCAATTTTTTATCTTAATATAACAGAAAATTCATTACTCCATGGTATGAGTATGTGCACAGTGGTATAATATATATTTTTTAACAAATTTTCTTAAATTTAAGAAAAAACGTGACATTTTTATTCTTTACTTCGAACAGTCAATACGTTCTTTCGACAACTTATTAATAGTTATTCATGTTTATTTGGGTGATTTACCATTTGTGATGTTAAAAAATATATATTTTACCTGTATGCACATACTCATACCATGGAGTAATAATGTTTTCATCTGTTATATTTAGATACAAAATTGTGAGTAATTTTTATCATTATTATTGTTTTTCTATGACATTTCTTACATATTATTTATTTAGTTTTAATTTTTATAGTTATATTGATTGCCAATGAATGAAGGCTAAGATGCTATCCGAAACGTACCCTATATCCAATTTGACCTTGATCAATTATATTGTAAATACCAAACCAATTCTATCACAACAAGTAACACATAAAACCAACAACTATCTGACTATGTACGCAATTAATTCATCATTGCTATTTTTCAAAAAATTGTCACCTGGTCCTTTTTATCCTATAAAATGAGTTAAAATGGGGAAGCCAGGGTACAATGTCTTATTTGCAATAACTTATTTAACTTATATATACATATTTAATTATTTATATATACTAATTCATTAACTCATCTCCAGTAAAGTTTTTTATTTCTACTTAATTTACATTTTTAATTACTATTTTGTATTGTTTGCATCTTTGCCAGGGTAAAGATTTAGTTGGTCTTTTTTACCCCATCCGCGTGTAAGCTTTTATAGAGGTTATATAAAAAAAACTGTTGAATTAAATAAACTAATAAAATTAATAATACATCTTATAAAACTATTAAATAACGTTATGTTATATTCAGACACCGTAAATTAAACAGCTGTTTACAAAAACAAAAAGACTAACAACAAAAAAAAACTTAAGTAATACTACGCCACGTACTATAGAATTTTGAGTATTCTAATGTAGTTTAGTAATGAACACATTTCGAACTATTTACAAATGCTTATACCATTATAATCTCAACTGTCGAGTTGTGTGGCATTATTCTCTATGGTGACAAATTGCAGTTTAATTCCTTGCTCATTTTTAAAGCCCACCAAAGTGCGGTAACAATGGAGATGTAAGAACCTATTTGTTAAACGCGCTTTTTGCAATTTTGCCACTTCAATCGCCCCTTTAAGTAAAAATCAACATGTTTATTACATGTCGGTTATAATGTCTTGACGTCATCTCTATTCAGCGGATCAATATGAGCGTATGACACAGTCCCTTGAAGATTTCAGATCTGTACGTCTGATAGGGATGGGCGGTATTTTTCGATATTAGAAGTAGAAATTCGTATCTGCTATAATTTTTACAGATGAATGCATATTTGTTAAGTTATTTTACACTAATTTTAGTACATTGTATTAAAATTATTAAATAATAGAAGTTTTTATCTTTGCTTGCACTTTTACATAGCCTTAATTGGTATTGTCATGTTTTTTTATCTTTTTTTATTTACTTAATATTTGAATTTACATTAGAATTAATTTACAAATTATATTATTAAAATATACCTCTGTACTGTAAATTAATTTAACTTTCAAGTTATCATTAATTGACTATGCCCTTGTTAATAAATTATGTCTGTTTTTATACAAGGTACATTTATATTATGGATTGAGAATTGCATGGATCCTAAGATTGATATATTTGTATAAAATTGAATATGAATTATACTCAATTAGCTCTTTTTTCCCCGACACATTTGTCTCAATTGTGTATGTATGCAGGTTCAAGATTTATATAACTTTTGCGATCTGACATCTTTGCTTCCTGATACAATTTGATATTGCAGGAGACAAAATGTATATAAGGCATATCTACATACATATAAAATATACAGGAGAACAAATGTATATGATATAATGAATATAGAGTAGAGCGGAGCTTAAATGGTAAAAATGTCATTATCTCAAAAACAAGTAAAGTGGAGAATTTCTAGTTGATGCCAATTTAAAGCAGAAGGTACAAGATGTGTAACCAGTTATTTATTACGTCAATTACGACGTCATTTTAAATGTTTTAATATTCATACTTGAAGTATTTTTTGTGTTGGTAGTTTATTTGGTTTTGAGTTCTTGTATTTAGTTTATGATACTTGGATATAATATTTAGATAAGGTAGAGTGAGGCTTAAAGGTCCACGGGTAAAAAGGTCTAGCACCGGTATCTCAAAAACAAGTAAAGTTAACAAATTTTTAACATTAACATTTGAAAGTGGAGGGAAAAATATGTATGACCAATCATAATCTTGATTTTTACGACTTCGCTATAAAGAGATTAGCAATTGATTTGAAAATCTGTAACAAAAGAATTTTTTCTTGTTATTTTTTGGTTATTACATCATTGTTGTTTAGGTTACGAGATCTTAATATAATTTTTAAGTATACGTTATTTAATTGTTTTTTAAAATATATTATTAATTTTAAGTTGGTTCCAATAGATTTTACTTTTTATATAACCTCTATAAAAGCTTAGAGTGAATAGAGTAAATAGGACCAACCGGATCTTTACCCTGGCAAAAGTGTAAACAATAAAAATGATAAATTACAAAGCAAATTAAGATAATTAAAGCAATTTTAAAAGATATGAATTAAATAAATAATTATTCCAACTCTGCAGATAAATATTTTTGACAAAATACCAGATCAAGGTTATCTTAAAAAGATATCTTTATAAAAAATGTACCTATTAAGTTTAAATTTTACATTGGTCGATTAATGTAATGTGATATAAAATACCTTTAAATTTATAAATAAGACATTGGACATATTTGCTCCCTGGCCTTCCCGTTTCACGCATACGTAGTAAATGGGTCCAGGTAACAAATTGTTTTAAAAAACAGTAATAAAGCATACACATTTCTACAAAGAAGAATTATCTGGAAGCTTTACTGAAAATAGTAAGATAATTGTTTATTTGGTACATGTTATGTGCTGCCATGTAGTTCATTTAGTTTAGACAGTATAATTATTGAAAGTCAAATTGAAACTTTGTACCTCGTCTATATATACATATTTTAAATCGAATGTAATGCTTCTATGTAGTATGGTGTAAGTATAATTTCAAACTTGTGTCTTTCCATATATCTATAAATCAGTTATCGTAAGTTCTGAACGTTATCAAAATTATATGTTATTTGTTCTAATCTCATGTCGATTATTCGCTGTCAACAAAGTGGTTAAATTTCGACATTTCTCCAATATCTCTCACCTCATCTCCAGGTAGATACATACAGTGGAACGCGAACGCGGCGCGACGGCGCACGAAAAAAACATCCCTCTGTATAATTCAACCCCTCTACCGTGTCGTGCGTTCGGAGGGGCGCAAGAACAGTTCCCTTGTATAAGTGTAAGTGTATTATGCAAGTTTCGGTCCTTTTTCCACCCATATGTACTGTATGGATTGCGCAGTGTTCGACGTAGCTTTTTCCTCGGCGATTATCCTCTGCGGCCAATAAGACGAGCGGTTGGTGTGGCCTGTTTTCCCCTTCCCGCAGAGGAAAGATTAGTAGCAGCGTTGTACTACTCTGGTAGTTCTCTGGTAGCAAATCAGTCTTGCGCTAGATACCGTAGCAATAGGTAGCTAACAGTTGTCAGTGCATAATATACCAAATATACCCTTACCAGAGCGAACTGTTTTATAGTGATCTGTTGTTGATTGTTACAAGTGTTAAAGACTATAGTGATTATTTTTCTTAAGTTTTGTTATCAAGATTAAGTGAACGAAAGGATAACACAATGTCTGCTTGTACGGATATGAAGATGGAACAGGATAGGAGAGATTCCGGTTAGTGTTAACACATATTATTGGATTATTTGAATTATGTTATTTTTTATATATTTTTTTTGTTTTAAATTTATTTTATGGTGTAAGTGAATATAAATAGTGTAACTAGATTTTTTACACCATGCTTTAACAAGTTGATATATAATAAATTTGCCAACTTGAGTTTAATATTGAATATACTACGTCCAAATATTTATATTATACTGTTCAATTTTGTTCATTGAACTTCGCCTGGTTATTAGAAGTAGTTATAGTAAATTTAAAAATTATTTATTATTCATTATAAATATGAAAAAGCGCAAAAGTATCTAATTTTTTTTCTCTGCGCTTTACAGATTTTCCTCCGAACATAGCGGCTTTGATCAAACGCGAACCCGCCCCTGTATCCCCTCTGTTGACGCCCCCTCATACGCCGACGCAAGACACGACGCCCCCGGCCACCGTCACATCGCGTCATGCTGCTTATTTCAACGAACATTATCAACAACCGCAACAATACTATTATCATCAGTATTATCAGCAGCAGGATCCGGCGGCAACAATTAGTCAACAGCAGCATCAAGTTTGGATGCAACATAGCCATCAACAGTATCCGGCCAATCATCGTACCAGTACTGTAGGTATTGTTCAACCTGCTCCAGCACAGACTTCTTACCCCGCTTTGCTCATGGACCAATGGATTCGCAGCGCTGCTCTGTATCATCATCAACAAAGTTTACAAAGTCAACAGTATCCCACGCTTAATGGGCCGAAGAGATTTTACCAAAATTTACCAGTTGCCGCAGTTGGTGCTTGTTTACCACCTAATGGGGGTAATACTAGATTGACTGCTAGCGGTACTAGACCAAAGAAACAATTTATTTGCAAATTCTGCAATAGGCAATTTACAAAGTCTTACAATCTCTTGATTCACGAACGTACGCATACGGATGAGAGACCCTACTCTTGTGATATTTGTGGAAAAGCATTTCGCAGACAAGATCATCTCAGAGACCATAGGTAATTATACTTTTACAATTATAATTAAACTTCTATACTTTGTATACCTCAATTGTAATTTTTCAAGTCATATTAGTTTTCTATCCTTTTTTCTTTTCTACAAATATAATTTAGAAGGAAAACAAATAAAATTTTTACTAAGGGCTATAAAGTATATTTTGAAATATCCACAACAAATTGCAAAATTCTACATTTACTCGCTTTACAACCTAATTGCTGTCTGTTGTTGCAATGAATATAAAACTAATGTCACCTTTTTATTTCTAGGTATATTCACTCCAAAGAAAAACCTTTCAAGTGTACCGAATGCGGCAAAGGTTTCTGCCAGTCTCGAACTCTAGCTGTACACAAAATTTTGCACATGGAAGAATCTCCTCATAAATGCCCCGTCTGTAGCAGAAGTTTTAACCAGAGGTCGAATCTTAAAACACATTTATTGACCCATACCGAACCTGAAGCTAGCCACCCCGCAGGATCATCGACATCAAGCACCTCTTCGCTACCAAACTCCACAAATCCTGCCCTGGATTTATCTCCCCAAAAGGAAAATGATGTCAGTTATCACAGCCAATACCAGCACGAACAACCACAAGCAGAAGTTTCCCATCAAAACGTTCAAGCAGTTTGCCAAAATAGGTCATTAAGCCCGCCCCGTGTCCAAACCGGCCTGCCAAAGAAAACGTTAGGATTTTCCATAGAAGACATTATGAAGCGATAGATAATAAAACGCTCAATATTTTAATATCAAAGTATTAACGAAGCCAAAACAATATAGCAAGTCTTTAGGGTACTATTTAATGTTTCCGACTATAGATATAATTGCCAAGGCGTACGTTAAAGACTATTTTTTCTAAACGCCAGGACGGGTTCCTTAAATACGTAATTAAATATCTTATGTTTACCAAAGATTTATACTTTTAATTGAGACTGATATTATTGAAATAACTATATATTATGAATTAGGTTAAAATATATTATTTATATTAGCTAAATATTTATTTTTTGTATAATAGTTTTATTTTCTTTTTTGTATATATAGAGTAAATGGTTATGTTTGTATTAGTTATAACATATGCCACTATTAAAATTGTTGTATAGTTCAAAATATAAATATTCATGTATGTAATAAACTCTTAAATAATTAATTTTGTGCATAATCAATTTCTAGTGATCTTCATTATTTCAGTGGTATAATTATTTCTGCAATCAATAACGTGAATCTTTCACTGGATAAAAATTTTCTAGACGCTTTACAATTAATTTCTTCAAATACCATTATAAACGAATAGCTTACTTTCAAAATATAATCAAAGGGCCGTATTTGATGCATATTGTATTAAAGTATAATGTACAAAAATTAGTTAACAAATTACAATTAAAACATTTAGTCAATTTTGCAAATCATTATAATTATCATATCATAAATAATCATTTTGTTTCCTTTCTATAAAATCACAGAAATAATTAATACAAAATATAATTGCATAAATTTAATAAGTATAAATTATATACATACAAGCACACACACACACTATATATATGTGTGTATGTATACATATACATGTATGTATAATTACATATCGCCTTTGGGCGATGTATACATGTTCGATAAAGCGCCATGCAAATAAATAGAAATTGGGATCCATTAGATAAATTGCACGATAAATCGTGAAAACTTTCTAATATATTTTAGATGAACGACCGTAATATTAGGAACAATTGGATTTCGTCTTACAAAACTTATTCATAATAAATTTTAAAAAAATATTGTAGAACATATTGCTTGCTCACTATCTAATAATCAATATTAGATAGTTTAATTTTTTTTCAATTAATATAAATATATAGTTTAATCTAATATATGATAGAAAGGAGTTCCGTATAAGAGCAGTTCCGTGAATTGAAATAAAATCCAAATATTTGCCATTACCATTTTTTACTGCTGTTCCCAAAAGGCTTATTTTCAATCCAAAACATATTTTTATCTATATTTTTAAGTAAAAAAAATACTTCAATTGAAAATATTGTATTTTTCATTCAATAATTAAAAAACAATTTTTCAGTTTCTTCATTGGGCGGTATTAGTTTGATATTCAATCCTGTATATCTGTGGTTAACCAAAATAATATGGAATTATAAAATGATTTTATTACTTATAATTTTTTTGTTGCATATGAAATGTTATCAAATTAAATCCGTATGCAATTACATGATTTGGAGATATTATCTAAAATAAATATAGTTTTTTCATAAATATAATAATGAATATTAAAAAACATTTATGAAGTAGATTTTAATTTTAAACCTTGGAACCAATAAGTTGTTGACATATGCGAATATCTTGGGCACATTACAATTTATTTCTAATTTCAATTTTATTAATTTTTATTTTTTTCATGATCGTCATTATTATCACCAACATCAATTTTATTATTTTTATAAATCATATAAGGCACATTTGTTTTGTAGTACATCAGTATGCTACTTTACGTATTTCATTCTTGCATGTTAATACAATATATTTTATAAAGATAATCTTATATAAATTTTAACTTCCCATAGTTTTATAGTAATTGTCCAAAAATGATTTTTTTGCATATCTTCACGTTTCAGCTGTTTCTGAACATTTTGGCATATCTTAGAAAAAATGGATGTGTGTGTTTTGTATGGATATTTTTTGTACACGATTTCGGACGCAAAGAACAACCGATTTGAAATATTCAAAAAACATTCTATTTCTACTGATAGGGAGACGTGATGAATAGGTTTTAGCAAAAGCAGGTCTAGCTGTTTTGAAGACACGGTACAGAAAGTGCAAACAATTGCAATAAAGTTTTTGTGAGAACGGAGAGTTCGATTTGAATAATTTAGATAACATTATACTTGTATTGACGGAATGAGAATTGATAGAATTTTTAGGAAGGCGGGTCCAGAGGTTTTGGAGATTCAACAAAAAAAAGTTAATAAAAAACGCCATTTGGCGGTCAAACATCATTAGACATATGAACATAAAATTATCAGATATTTTATAGAAATTTTAATAATAAGTCTACACTTTTATGGGTTCCGTACCGAGATTTAAAATGTTTAATCGTTAGACTGCAACGCGGCGCTTACGCGCTTTGGCATTTCTTTACTTATTGTCATGAAAACAGCTACATGCGCGATAGCTTTTAAAAAATACAAAATATTTACAAATTTTCGATTCCTAAACATTTTTTTATTTTTTCCAAAATTTTCAAAGAATTTTAAAACTTTTAAAAATATTAAAAATTGCTACGGGAAGCACCAGCAATTTTTCTCAAGGCACGATACCATGCACCACTAGTTTAGTAAAATTTTATTCTATATACTATAATTATTTCTACTATATAATCGTCATTATTTATTTGTATGCCCCGAGTACGGCCCCGGGCTGAATGACGGCGTCATCTCTGACGCAACGCGTTAACTGCTAGCAGAGTTTCGTTCATGCGATTTAGCAGTCGATGTCGCTCAAATGCAACTGCCGCCGAAATTAACTTCCAGCTCGAATGGTAAACATTAAAATTGCATAATTCAATAAAATCCATTCAATTCCATCGTATTCATTTTGGCAGGTTTTATTGACGAAACTAGTGCAATCTGAAATTATTTTTCTTAAATCCGGTAGAAATTAATTAAAATGGTAAGCTAAGCATTTTATTTTTTGCTTGTGTTTAAATTATAATTTAGAATAAATATTTATATTTTTTACCAAATTCTTTGAAACAAATTTTTATAAATTGCGTTTGTATGTATTTTCCACATGTCTAGCATACCTAACAATGGTTTCAGCTAGGAAGCTATTTCTATTATCAAATCAAGTTCTACTATTTTATTACCTTAACAATTGATTTATTTTCTTAAGGAAGTTAAGATTTAAGTTTACAATTTAATAATTATAATTAAAGTAAATCCAGTACAAAGGCGTACTACAATTTATTACGCCATCGTTAACTCAAAAAGTGTTCGAAAATATTGCCATTCGTTTGTTTTAAATAAACGTGGAATATTAACAACAGTAAATAATTCATATCTTACACGAGATCAAATGGTAAAAGATACAATGAAATGTTTTCTTACAATACGAAGATTTTTTTATGTTTTCTGTATAACATTTAACTGCATTTAACAATCATCACTATTAATTATTAGTTTTTTCATTATAATTTTTCAGATATGTTAATTATTCCATAATAATTGTTTAATGTTATTACAGACTACCAAACAAAACGTTATGCAGTTTTAAGACATTTTTCTTCATTTTTTTATTATTGGTTGGATTTGCAATATTATAGCATTTTATTTTATTTTTTTCCAAATATTCAAGATAAATGAATTGGTTATCACAATTTTCTGTTTTTTATATAATCGAACATTAGCAATATTAAACTATTATGATTGTAAATAGACTTTGAACACCGACGAATCTATATTATGTGTTGATGTGCATTAGTGATGTAACGAATATTCGCATTCGCATTCGCATTCGCAAATATTCGCATATTTTTCGATATTCGCATTCGCATTCCTATTCGCAAAAAACGATGCGAATATATAGCGAATGTATTTAACAAACAAAAAGGAAATTATTATATAGTTGCATATGAAATGATAACACAACTAAGATTTATATATTTTTATTTAATCATACTTATTTATGTTTCCATTCCACTATATATTTTCTAAGAATTAAATATGATAATGAAATATAAACTTAAAAAACCAAATAATGAATACTTGACTATTTGTAAATAAGCTTTTTACAAAAAAAATATTTATTTCTATTTAAAACAAAAGTAAAGTTCTAATATTCATAATGTTAACATTTGGTTTCAATTGCACATTTTTAACTTCCCGTAGGGCAAGTTATAGTAATCGCAAAAAAATCGAAAATGAAAATTTTTGCATTTCTCGACGTTTCAAAGGTTTCTGAATATTTTGGCATACCTTAGAAAAAATGGATGTATGTGTGTGTGTGTGTGTGTGTGTGCGTGTGTGTATGTATGTGCGGATACAAATTTTCGTCGACGATTTCGGGAACACCGATCAACCGATTTGAATAATTCAAAAAACATTCGATTCGTATTGATAAGGAGACGTGCTGATTAGTTTTTGGCAAAGTCAGGTCTAGCCGCTCCGAAGATACGGGGCAAAAAGTGCCGAAAACGGTAACTCAGTTTTTAAGAGAACGGAGCGTCCGATTTTAATAATTCAAAAAACATTTTACTTGTATTGACAAGGTGAAGAACCGATCAAATTTTCATAAAGGCAGGTCTAGCGGTTTCGGAGATCTAATGAAAAAAGTAAAAAAAATGCCATTTGGCGGTCAAAAATGATTATTAGACATATGCACATCAAATTATCAGATATTTTATAGAGATTGTAACAATAAGTATAATTTTGGTTTACATTCCTAT